TTTTTTGAATTACACAACTGTCCCCAGAATAACCTGTTGCCGGCAGCTGCGTGGGGCTTCCCCGCCTCCCTGCAAAGCAGCGAAGGGTTCGCTGCTCGGTGCGCTATTCGCCAGCAACCCCCCTCGCCGGATGCAGTGCGGGTTCTGGCAGACCCATGACAGGGGCATACTCCCAACCCAATCCCCCTCCCCTCTTCTCTGCTTTCCCTTCCTCAGAGCCAATCACCTCACCTCCCTGCTGTAACCCAGTCCCCTTTCTCCCCCAACCTTATGTCCCGGTCCCAACAGACACCACCACTTGAAACACAACCCCCAACTTTTCCATTATTTTCAATGGGAAAATTGACCCCACATAACACGTTTTCACTTAACATGATCATTTTCTGAAACACATCTGGGCTTGCACAAAAACTTGCCAGCTGTCTACACTGGCTGCTTGAATTTGCGCAAGAACACTGACTTTGTAATGTACAAAATCAGTGTTTCGTGTGCAAATACTTTCATGCTTCTGCTCAGGAAAAAGCCCTCTTGCGCAAGAATAATTGTGCAAGAGGGCCAGTGTAGACGGGGAAGAAAAGGTTCAGTAAAGTGTCGGAGGGTGGATAGGAATGCTCAGGAGAATTCTGGGGACTCAATGGGAAAGAATGTATCTGTCGAAGGGGAAGGTGTGTGCACAACTGCTCAGTCAGAAGCATAAGAAGGGACTGCAGCATTTTGGTTTGATTCTCAAAAGCTGTTATCGGCTTCTCTTTGGCAACCCGATGGAAAACATCGTTTTCTTTTCTGGTCCACTTCTCATTTCCCCCCACTCCTACCTGTCTTTTCTGCCTCTGAGTATGGGAGTGCCACATGGAACATGTCTTCCTTGATGCATGTTAATTGTTTTTTGTTCAGCACAGATGATCTGCTATTGAGGGAGGTTGGCTTCTCCAGGTCATTACTGTGTCCCCACAAGCAATGATTCACACAAGCATTATTGTTATCTGCACTCACAGCATCGATACACTGCCTGAAAATACACCTCTGGTGGCAGACCTTTTGCATCCTCAGTGCCCATAATCAAAGACTCATGAGCCAGAAGACCCCGAGAATTGTGGCCTTGTCAGAGGCCTTGTTTATTGAATGAAGGCAATGTGAAAAGGTCACATGACATGGATAGAGGTCAACACTCTAAACATTCCCAATGGTTTCCACTGACAGTGGCATTGTGGAAGATGTCTCACGTCTGAGGGTAAGGAAAAAAGCAATGGCCTTGCCTCTGCTACACACTTGACCCCTTTGCCCCCTCCTTATACTCTCACCTGACTGCAGCATTGGTCGCTGTGCAAGTTATTGCAGAATAGCTCAGGAAAGTGCCTCTCAATGGGGCAAGGAACGAGGCCATTCTGACCAGGATTCCCCCACGCAATTCTGTCTTGTGTCTCCTTTATCCCTGCTCTAACTGTCTTCCCAGATTGTGACCCTTCTCCCAGGCCTCCATGTTTTTCACTTACCTGTGTGCATTGGTCACCTGCTCCCGTCAGGTGTCAATAGAGTAGGCTTGAGAACAAACTGATCAATTCTAAAGTTATAAGGCACGAGGGCCAGAGGGGATTCAGCAAGAGTGATGAAGACACTCAAATGTGGAACTGCAGAATGGCTAACTGTGGTGAGCAATCTCTCACTGAAATCAGCCTCCGAACCAGATGACTGGCACATACCTAATGCAATGCTCATTTTCAACACAGGCTCCAGAGGCAATCCTGGCAATACAGCCCAGTAGGACTAATTTCAGTATAAGATCTCAAATGGGTAGCTGTGTCAGTCTGTTTCTCCAAAAACTATGCAACAATTTGCCTTATACTGAAAAAAAACAACAATGAGGAGTCCTGTGGCACCTTAGAGATTAACTGATTTATTAGGATATAAGATTTCATGGTTAAAACAAACTTCATCAGATGATTTGGAGTGGAAGTACAGAGGCAGGTATATATATGAACAACAAAAGAAAGAAATTACTTGTAACGTCTTGTAGCCTCTTTCTTTTATTGTTCTTATGTGTAGATAATTTAATGGAGCACAGGTCCATCAACAGCTATTATCCAAGATGGTTTGGGATACAGCCACATACTCACTCTGGGTTCCTATGAATCTCTGACTGCCAGAAGCTGGGAGCAGACAACAGGGGATAGGTCCCTCCATAATTGCCCTATTTTGTTTGTAGCCTCTCTGACAGCAGCATCATTAACCTTCTGTAGGCCCAAAAGCAGCCATGGGATTAATCAGACCCATACGTACAGGGCTGACAAGTCTGGATTCCAGGAACGGAGTCTGTAGCCGGGCTGGTGCTGCAGGCCAGTTGTTTATCATCATCTTCCATCCCCTGGGATTTGACCTCCTGCTGTTTGCCATTGGCCATGATGAGGTTAAAAGCTGGTGCACATGAAGCCAAACAGCTGAGGTTCCCTGATGGCCAAGTGGCTCCAAGGGAAGGTACAAACATGTTACATAAAGACAGTTGCCTCCCTATCTGAACACACACTGCCTGCTGCCCCTGCAACCTCTCCGATGACTCCTTGTCTGTGTCAGCGGCTCCCTTCTAGCAGGAACTGGGTACGTTGGCAGGTGTCACTGTCTGTAACATGCCAAGTGCAGGGAGAAGGCTGCAGGCTGTTTGCATTGGCAGATGTTCTGTGCAGCAGCAGAGAACTCAGCTGGTCTATCGGGGTGACTCAGTGACGGGGCTGGAGGGCAGGCAGCACTAGGTAGCTTGGGAACCCTCCCCTCCATCTGCCCATGCTCCGTGGTGGCTTATTCAAGGTACACAGAAATCTGACATTGAAAGGGAGCTAGGAGTGTTAACAGCCTAATACCTTAAGAAAAGATTTCTCATAGTGTCCAATTTCTAGGGGCGTTGTGCGCTCTGGGCCCAACCCTGCCAGGGGCTAAGTGAAAGGAGACCCCATAAAATATCACAAATCTCCTCAGGATTATTGTTTCTGAAAATATAATCTGCAGACGCCTTTTGAGCTGTTTTGTTCTCTGGTTCGGTTGTGAATTCGGGGCTGTGTTGTTCAGTGGTTAGAGATCCCATAAAGCACACTGCTGTTTTGTGACTAGCTGAGGGCTCCTACACTTCTGCCCTGCAGACACCCCTCAGTGGTGCAGGGCGACCAGCATCTCTGCCCCTCTCTGGTCTGTAAGTGCCACACGTCAAGCCTTGGACCTGGCTCTCTCATGGGGTGGAATCCCACGATCCTCTCACCCTCAGAGCTACAGCGCTTTCTGGGTCGACTGGGCCTGACCAGCAAATCCAGCTGTGTTCAGCACCTGGGGTTGCTTCCTCTGGGAGGCTGTGACTAATGGTGAGACGTGTGACCAGTCAGTCTTCCTCATCCAAAACACTGTGTACTCGGAGCAGCAGGAAGAAAGTGTAACCCGGGGGAATAAGAGGGTTTTCACAGTAATGTCTGTACACATCTCTGACTCCAAGCCAACTACTCGGACAGGGACCTGGCAGGATGAGATTTTTCAGCCTTCTCCAGCCGTGTTTGTGCCTGTTGGTGTGAAGAGTTTCTCAGCAACAGCTGCCCCAACTCTGGGCAGACTCCCAGCGCTGGCAGAACAAGCTGGGTAACGTGGCTGGAGCCTGGAAAGGCTTTTCCCACCTTGTATCCCCAGTCTGGTCTCTCAATCTCCCTGAAGTGCTCACTGAGCAAAGGCTTTTCTTCAGCTGTTGCTTCCCTTTCTGCTTGTTTTCTAGCAACCTGCTGTCAACTAAAACAACTGGGACCTAATGTAACCCTGACATACATATCCCAATAGTTAACCCAATACGGCTCTACAGCAAACTTCCCAAAAACTCAGGTTGACATTCACATTCATCAGAGCACTTCAGCTCCATGTCTCTCACAATTCCAGGTCTGGAGTGCTGTGTATTTTACGAATACAGGATATTGAGAGTAAGAGGGACCAAGAGAGCAGGAGAGGACTTTCGTGTGTGAAATGCTCTCCTGGGTCCATCAATACTCAGGCATTTGACTTTGAATCTGCTTCCTCCAAACTCCCATCATGCCTTAAAAGAGGTGCTGGAATCACTATGTCCTCCAGAAATTTTTGATCTGAGGAAGTGGGTCTGGCCCACGAAAGCTCATCACCTAATAAACCATCTTGTTAGTCTTTAAAGTGCTACATAGTCCTGTTTTTTATGTCCTATAGAGTGAGAGTCCCGAAATAAATATTTCATGTGTTGACCCCGTTGCCTATGACTCCTCCACATACAGGCAAGATACTGCCAGAACAGAACCTGGGGAGAACCAGTCAGCTGCTAACCCTGGGACAGAGGCGCTCCTAGACTTTTGTTTTCTGAGAAACAATCCATGGAGGGCTGAGATGCTACAGTCTTTTCAGAATCTGAAGATCGCCAGATGACAGAAGCTGCATTGTATCTCCAGCTCTAACGTAAGAAATTATCTCTGAGGGGCTGTCTACACTGCGGAGCTATTTCAGGATACCAAAAGTATCCCAAAATAGCAATTTTGCATTTATTGAAGCATCCTGTTATTTTGAAATAACAGGCACCTTATTGTGACATTCCAGCAACCCTTTTTCCACAAGGGCAATACACCTATCTCCTATAGCTGGAAGGGACCTTGAGAGGTCATTGAGTCCAGTCCCCTCCCCCATGGTAGGACTAGTTACCATCCCTAACAGATTCATCCCAGATGTCTCCCTCAAAGATTAAACTCACAACCCTGGATCAAGCAGCCTAATGCTCAAACCACTGAGCTATCCTTGGGAACTGGGAGGGTTAGCTACAGGTCTCATCAAGCCTGTCAGTGCCTATTTTCTTATCTGTGGTGGAAATCCAAGAGTATATTTTTGCTGAGCTTTTAATTCTTGGGAGATTCTAGCCTTGCACTGAGAGCAGAAAGATGTCTTGTTAAATATCACCTAGTCTTCTATTCGTGTTTTCTTTCAGGAAAGAAAGCTCAAAACTCCTTGGACCTGTCCAGCACATTATGTCAGCTGTCAACGACACCAAATTCAACCATGCAGTGTTCCTTCTCAGTGGGATATCTGGGCAGGAAGACGTCCGTCTCTGGATCTCCGTCCCCTTCTGCTTAATATATGCTATTTCAATAGTAGGAAATTCCTTCATTCTGTTCATTATAAAAACTGATGCAAGTCTCCATGAGCCCATGTACATTTTCCTTTCCATGTTGGCTCTCACAGACCTTGGCTTATTGATAACCACCATGCCGACGATACTGGGTGTACTCTGGTTTAACTCTGGGGAGATCAGCCTTGATTCCTGTTTTTCCCAGCTGTTCTTCATCCACTCCCTTCAATTCATTGAATCCTCCATACTTCTGTCGATGGCCTTTGACCGCTTTGTCGCAATCCGTGACCCACTGAGGTATTCTTCCATCTTAACTTTGCCGAGAATAGCCAAGATGGGACTGGTGTGCGTGCTAAGATCGGTGGCTGTAATATTCCCACTTCCCTTTCTTGTGAAACGGTTCCAATACTGTCGAGCCAATGTCCTCTCCCATTCCTACTGCCTGCACCAGGAGGTCATGAAGTTGGCTTGTGCGGACATCACAGTCAACAACATCTATGGATTGCTTATTACCCTTTTAACGGTGGGGTTGGACTCACTGCTCATCTTCCTCTCTTACGTGATGATCCTCAAAACAGTGCTGGGCATCGCGTCCCACACGCAATCTCTCCGGGCCCTGAACACCTGCGTCTCCCACCTCTGTGCCGTCCTGCTCTACTATATACCAGAGTTCTGCCTGACTGTGATACACAGATTTGGGAAGGGCTCTTCTCCTTTACTTCAGATTCTCCTGGGCTATGTCTACCTATTGTTCCCACCTCTACTTAATCCAATTGTGTACAGTGTAAAAAGCAAACACCTTCGTGCAAGAGTAATCAAGGTGTTCATCAAGTGAAGGCTCAGGTCATCACCTGGTTCTAGGGCTGGTGGCACAGATTACAAAAAAACCTCAGTCCCTGGTCACCTATTCCATCCTGGACCTTACATCCAAGATGACACAAGCTACTGATCCCCACTCTACAGAGAAAGGCTTAGAAGGGGCGTAAGGCCTGGAGCTGTGGGAGAGGGCAGCTCGCTGGGGGAAGGAAACCAAGGTAGGCAGTTGCATTGACAATCTGATTCTGTTTGTGTAGAGCCAGGGGACCAGTGAGATGCTGGCCAGAAGGAGCTGTTCTGATGGCTGCTCCAACCTCAGAATTCCTCCTGTCATTAAAGAGAAGGGATTTGGATGTTGTTTCTCTTCAGAGGTGGCCTGTCACTGTCCTGTCTCCCATAAAACATCGATGAGCCCTTCCCGAGCACGTTGAATGCTGGATAATTCATGGGACTCTGTAGACAGGGGCTATTCAGACACAGACCCTTCCTCCACACCATCAGCCAGCTGCTTGTGACTAAGTCATGCCAGAGACACCGTGAATGTAAAACCGTTGGGAAAAGCTGGTCAAACACATACACCCCCGTCTGTTAATAGCTCTGCAACCCACACACCTGATGAACCCTCCCTAGATGACTGTAATGCCCCAAGGCAGAGCAGAGCAGTGGGTGAGGGAGGGTCCAGACCATATTTCCCTCCCTATAATGTATGCTGCCCCCATAATGCGAAGGGGTGGAAACAGGCCTCAATTCCCCCACAGAGGCACATCTAGCTCTTCTCCCAGCCTAGCCCATCCAGTGTTAGGTGGCCTCTTTTTCAAAAGGCAAAAGCAGGACAAAGGTAAGATCCACACCCCTGCCCCTCTTCTTTTCCTGGACCCCCACTTGACACTCTTCCTCCCCCCTCCCAGCAAGCCCCTCCCTCTCTCCAAGACGGAAGCCAGAGCCTGGATGTGATTAGTCAGCAAGGGATTCCGTGGGGAACCCCAGAGTCTCTACATTCCTGGGGTGGAGGGGCCTGGCCTGTGGGGAAAGAGGAGCAAGGACTAAGCTTCATATTGAGGGGGTCTAAGTGACACCTCAACTCCCACTCAAGGAAAAGGGTGACGAGGCCCACAGGCCTGTCTCAGGCGAGGAGCTTCTCTGCAGGGGACTCGGAACAAACGCTGCCGCGGAGTCATTCAGGGGCTGGGACTTTGAATTCTGCATTCCGGGGAGAGGGAGCCACCCTAATTCAGTGGCCATAAGAGGTGGTGTGTTGGGGACTGTGTCCTTTCAAGTTAAGAAAATTTAAAAGCATCCCTGAACCCCTAATCCAGGTGTGGTCCCTTAAGGTTCCTGGGGCCTTCTGGAGCTGACAGAGGCCTAGCAAAGGCAGCTAATGAGAGAGAGGAAGATAGTAGCAGGAAATAGGTCTGCTCTGAGAAATCCCAGGTGACCATGTTTGCCGCTGTTCTTGCGACTGCAATGCTTATTTGCATTTGGTATGCATAGGAAGCTATTGTGATTGTTAAGGCCCAGTATTAAATGTAAGAAATTGCTACAAGTACCTCTTGATTTGTGGGTGCCTTAAGGTATCATAGCTTGTGTAGAAACAAATACAAAGTGCTCACAATGCTTTTATTTTCAAATAAATGACTGCATCACACAGACAAATACACACACTGACACTGAGGGGGGCATTAAACATATTGGGAGGTGCGAATTATTGTAGGTGAGTGCAAATTCTGCTTTCATTTGAAAAGCGGTTGTCCAAGATGGAGTGTGGAAGAAAATGCAAAGTCTCAGAAAATGGATAAGAATGCTAAGAGGAGTTCTGGGCACTCCATGGGAAGGAATTTATGAGCTGAAGGGGACGGTGGACACACAACTGCTCAGTCTGGAGCATAAACACTGGAATAAATGGCCTAGGGAGGTTAAGGAATCTCCATCACTGGAGATATTTAAGAGCAGGATAGATATCTATCAGGAATCATCTAGACAGTGCTTGGTCCTGCCATGAAGGCAAGGGGCTGGATTTGATCTCTCGATGTCCCTTCCAGTTCTATGAGTCCATGATTCTATCAAAAGGAACGGCAGCATGTTGGTTTGGTTCTCCAAAACTTTTATTGGCAGCTGACAAGGAGCAGCCATGGGTGTCTAACTGGGTGTTTCTGTACTGAGGGGCTTTGGTTAAGAGACTAGCAGATCCAGACTAATCTTTGGTTAAGAGACTAGTATACCCTCCTCCCCTACCCCATCTTTCCCTCAGAGCTCTATGGCCAGCTCCCCTCAACTTCCCTTCAGAAACATCCCCCAGCCCATTTCACACAATCAGCCAACCCCATATAATCTCCCTGGAAGAGAAAGGGGGCTGCTACCCCCCACACTGTCTCTCACAAACCATCCCCCCTCCGTGCCTCTAGCCCTGAGGTGATAAGGGGGCCTGTGTTATGTTCTGCAACTCACAGGCCTTCACCTCCTCCATATCACCCACCCATAGACCCGCCAACATCACAGGGTCCTAGAGCCCAGTCAGCTGACAAGGAGCAGCCATGGGTATCTAACTGGGTGTTTCTGTGCTGAGGAGCTTTGGTTAAGAGACTAGCAGACCCAGACTAGTTTTTGCTCAAGAGACTAGTACAGACCCAGACCCAGACTAGACCCAGACACCTTGTTTATTGAGGGATACTGTAGCATATGTGCCCTATAATACTAATGTGTGCGGCATTGTTCATCACTATGCTAGCCCTGTTCTTGCAACTGGGTGCTCTCCAGACCACAAGACTGGGGCTCCCTGGCTTGCTGCCATTTAGTGTCTGAGGAAGAAACCAGATCCCCTCTCTGTCCTGCCCACTACACACTGAGGCAAGCAACCCCCTTTGCAACCTGAACCAAATCTGGGACACTGCATGGCACGAGATATCTGTGGCCTATGCAGTGGAGGCTATGCCTGACTGATATCTGAGGGCTTACAAATGTCTCTATGAGCGTGGCCATGGGAAGAGGAACATGGGCTGACACAGGAATGATTTCCTGTGGCAAAGTCGAGGTTGGTCCCTGTAAATGCTGGGCCATGCAGGAGGTGCAGCTTTGAGTTTTCATGTTGATTCATAGACCCAGATCCCTGAACATGTCTATTGAATTCTAGGCACAGCCCGGCAGGCCCCATGGAAGCAGTGGGCTCTGAAGTAGGGGTAGATCATAGTCCTTTGGGTGTGTAGGGGAGTGGCTGCTCCTGAGTTTCCTCTCAAAATATTCTGCGAGGTGACATACGCAGGTGGGGTGTCTCTTTGGAGCTGCTGGGGTATCTCTCAGGGCCGTGTCCTGTTGCTTGTGAGTACATTGCTGCCTGCTGCACAATGAGGCCTAGGCCCATCACTGGACACACTCCATGGAAACCCCAGTGGGAAATAAGCTTTGCCATATTTTCAGCTGCTGCATTTGGCTGGGACTTCCCTTGCTGCCCTCCCTGCAGCTGTTACGTGCGGGTCTCCCCCTGAGTCACAGCTGCCTCCGTTTCTCAGGGAAGCCGTTTCTCACGCTCAGCGCGCTGCTGATAATAGTTTGAAATTCCTTTTACAATACTGGGGGCAGGAAAGCACAAAATGGTGGCCTGGGTCTAGTCTGCTGCCCTGCTGTGCCCCTTGTTGCTCTTTTTCCCATGGTCTCCCCAGACTCCTGCTCTCACCCCCAGTGGCTGGGGCCTGGGCTTTCCCCTTTACTCTACCCACCGGGGGAACACGGCCCTGCTGCATCATCTCCAGCAGCCTGGGGTTGACAGACAGAGCACTGGATTGACAAATGAGGCACCTCCCTACACACATTCCTATGATTCACCTGGGCAGCACCCCATTGTTGGAGAATGCGAGCACCTGCCCAGGAGAAGCCTGAGAAATGTTTGTTGGGATCGATTTCAGCACCTGGACACAGATCCTGGCAATGGGCAGCATGAAGCATCGTTGGCTGAATGATGCTGATTTGATCCACTCTCACCTGTAAGCTGTGACAGGGACTGGGAATTGGGGAATTTATGGTGTCAACACACCTGTAAAACATGGGTAGTTGGGGTCTGTCTAGTCTGCAGGGTTTTGTTGACAAAAGTCCACTTTTGTCGACAAAACTATACCTGCGTCTACACTACTGCTGAGTTCTGTCAACATAACATAAACAGAGGTTTACCTCTATTTGGTTGTTCTAAGTTGGCAAACCTCTCCATGGCTTCTCCAAGTGCCAAGGTCTCCTCCAGACCATGACAAAAAGGAGATACCAGACAACCTGCATCCTCAAGGGCAAAGCACAGCAGAAAGACTGAGTACTGCATGTGATTCAATCACTCGGATGAGGGATGGTAATAGAGATTTAATTTGTTTCACTGACTCCAGCATGAAATCTCAGCATCTACTTTTGACACTTGGGCACATGTGTATAGAGACACATCACCCTAAAAGCAACTCGAAAATTGTCTGTGTAGGCAGAGAGTTATTAGATTCAAAGGGGGTGGTGACACACAGCATTTTGGTTCTCAAAAGTGCACTGTCTTGCAAGTCTCACCAAAAAGCTCGAGTAGAATGTCAACAATTCCTGCAGCAGCTTTTCTGCCTGAACACTTTCTACTTCAAACCATTAGTTTATCCTCCAGGCTTACTGAAGGATTCTATTTTGAAAAATCGGGCAAATTTTGTTCCAGGATCAATGGGGATATGATAAAGTTTTCCAGAATTAAAGTTCATTTTTTTAAGAAAATAAAACAGTCAGACCAAAGGGCCATCTAGCACAGTACCCTGTGCGCTGAAAGTGGCCAGTCCAAGATGCCTCAGAGGGAGTGAACAGCACAGGTAATCCTCATGTGATCCCTCTCCTGTCAATCATTTCCTGAAAAAACAGAGGCTAGGCACACCATTCCTACACATCCTGGCTAATAGCCATTGATGGACCTAACCTCCATGAATCTATCTAGCCCTTTTTTGAACCCTGTTAAAGTCCTAGTCTTCACCACAGCCTCTGGCAAGGAGTTCCATAGTTTGACTGTGTGGTGAGTGAAGAAAAACTTCCTCTTGTTTGTTTTAAACATACTGCCTATTAATCACATTTCGTGACTCCTAGTTCTTATATTGGGGGAACACGTAAATAACTTTTCCTTATTCACTTTTTCCACAACAATTATAATTTGATAGACCTCCATCATATCCCCCCTTAGTCTCCTCTTTTATAAGCTGAAAAGTCCAAGTCTTTTTAAGCTCTCTTCATATGGGATATATTTCAAACCCGTAATCATTGTTGTTACCTTGGTTCTCTGAAAATGCAGCTTCAATTAGGACTCATGGAAAGTCACTTTCTGTCCGGAAACTGCAGTATCTTCCAGTGGCCTTGAAGTCACAGACATGCTAAGTCCCAGGGTGTGTTGAGGAGAGGGCTTATGGGTAATGCTATTGATCAGAAAGAGACAACTGAGCAATCGAGTCACACAGTGCTAAGACCTTGACTGTGAGGAACATGTGAGACTAAGAATGTCTCCCATGCTGAGCTGAAGCTAAATTGGGGAGAGCACAATTGTTTAATGAGGAGGTCTCCTTTCGCCATCTTGTTATGCAGGTTTAGGGTCGTTGGCTCCAGGTAAGCACCTTCTGCAGACGTATTTACTCACTTTGGTGCGCAGTTCTTTGGTTTTGACCCCATAGATGATGGGGTTGAACATGGAAGGGACAAGGAGATAGATATTGGCAACAGTGACGTGTGCTTGGGAAGGGATGCTCTGGCCAAACCTTTGTGTCAGAGAGGAGAAGAGGCAGGAAGAGTAAGACACCAGAATCACACAGATGTGGGCTGTGCAGGTGTTGAGGGCTTTCTGGTGGGCTGTCTTGGAGGAGACTTTGAGGATAGCTCTGATGATCAGTCCATAGGACAGAGCAATGAGTGTCAGATCTAACCCAGAGACTGATAATATCATTCCCAATCCATACGTCCGACTGACTGTGATGTCCCCACAGGAGATCTTTGCCACAGACATGTGCTCGCAGTATGTGTGGCGGATAATGTGGTTGGCACAGAACGGCAGGCTGCTCAGGCGCAGAGGCATGGGCAAAACCAAGAGAACAGCTCTTACTAAACCCACTAGCCCTAGCTTAGCTATGCGTGCATTGGTGAGGATGGTGGCATATCTCAGAGGGTTGCATATGGCAACGTAGCGATCGAAGGCCATAGTGCTGAGAACGGCTGATTGCATCACAATAACCATGTGCAGGAAGAACATCTGGGTGAGGCAGCCTCCCATAGTAATGTCTTTCAGATTGAACCACAAAATACACAGGGCTTTCGGCACAACAGAGGAAGATGTGCTGATGTCGGTGAGTGCCAGCATGCAGAGTAGCAGGTACATTGGTGTGTGCAGGCTCTGCTCTTTGCCTACCACAAACAGAATCAGGAAATTTCCCAGCAGGCTGATAATGTAGCAAACACAGAAGGGAATGGCAATCCAGATGTGGGCTGCTTCCAGGTCAGGAA